TTTTGGCGGGTCCGGGCTGGGGATTCGAACCCGCCACCTTAGGTGTAGGTGGCTGGCGCCTTAGCCGGTTGAGCTATAGGCGCCGAGCTGTGATGGGCTTTTAAAGGAAGGTTTGTGTGCCTTGGGGCAGGTGGTGGTGTATCTCACAAAAGGCTTGTGCCGTGGGGTAGGTCATGGTATGACTAACAAGGGGCTAGGCATTGGGGCAGGTCGTGGGAGATGGTGGTTCTTGGCCACAAGAATCATGCTGTGGGATCTTCAGCATCTTAACTCCTTTGCCTTGCAGAATACCTTTTCTAGGAAGTAACTCAAAAGGTCAAGTAGTTAAGGGAGAGAATTATATAGAGATCATTGAAATTTGTTCTACTAGGGGACCAGTTACAACTATGTGCCATGATTGAAATGATTACAAGATGTTCAAGGAAACAAAGGAGAAGCATCATTTGTAGTATATAGAAGTGATGAGGAGAGTCTTCCCTAAAGTAATAGTGATAGCCAGAAAAGCAGAAATGGTTAAGCACGTGAGAAAATCCCAACCTGTTTCAGATCTCAGCCAATATCTTCTTCCCTAATATGTATACATACCCTCTCTGAGTTTCTCATCTACTCTGGTGTAGTCCACTGTCACCTATGGAAGACTTTCAAAATATCTATCCTTTATTTCCGGAGTTCCAGATCTGTATATTCAATAGCTTATCAACCTGCATGTTTCCCAGTCACCACAAACTGAGCTAACCTCATCTTCCTACATAAATTTCCACCACTTCCTGTGAACTAAAAATCTTAAGGTTTCCCTTCTCCCAACCCCCACCTCAGTGGCTGACTGACTGGATGCTCTTTTGGCCAAGGGAATACCCTAAAACTGAGTTGCTAGCCATGAGAAAAGAGATCAGACATGCCTCCTCACGTCCTCCTGCCTTCTTAGAGATGTCCTTTGTGATTCATTAATGGGCCTAAGGTTATGCAAGACATACCTGCAGGTTCTTATGTGTGATAAACCACTTGAGTCAGGGCATATGTCCTGTAGTTTGTCTCTCATTAATAGACCCTTACCTCGAGTATTCCTTTTTACTGACTTCTGGTCTATTAGACAAAGCCTAACTCTTTCAGCCAATTCTCAATCAAAGAATCTTTAAACACACTTATAATCTGTAAGCCCTCTGCCTTTGAGATGTTCCACTTTTCTAAGATGTTCCACTTTTCTTTTATCAAGTCTTCCATGTATTGATTTGTGACTTTACCTATAATTCCTGTCCCCCTAAAATGTTTAAAATCAAACGATAACCCTACCACACAAGTCTACTTGCTCAAAGCTTGTTTGAGCATGACTCTAGCCCATGGTCTTTTTTCCAACTTAATTAAACATTTTTTCAGTTATTGGCCGGGGCCAGGTTTGCACCTGCCATCTCTGGTATATGGATCAGTGCCCTACTCCTTGAGCCACAGGCGCCACCCCCATGGCCTTTTTGTTGTTGTTGTTACCACCCTCGGTAGAGTGCCATGGCGTTTCACAGTTCACAGCAACCCCCAACTCCTGGGCCCAGGCGATTCTCTTGCCTCAGCCTCTGGAGTAGCTGGGACTACAGGCACCCGCCACAACGCCCGGCTATTTTTTGGTCAGAGCCAGGTTTTAACCTGCCACTCTTGGTATATGGGGCCAGTCTCCTACCCACTAAGCCACAGGTGCTGCCCAGGCTTAAGCGTTC